AACATTCCCTGCTGTCCCCTGGGACCAGGCTCTCCATCACCTCCCTGAATGAAACAATTTACACTGTCTTCAATTTAGGACAAACACATACGTACAGAGCCTTCACATACAGCAACACAATTAAAATGATAAAAGACTGTTGACATGCTCATAAATTCTAATCATACACCATCCCTTCATGACAGAATATAAAGGTAGTGTTGCCTTTTAGGGTTGGGTATTCCTCATATAGAGAAACCTTGGCTTTCGTTCTTCATTTCTAAAACGAAGTCTGCAACAGGATGGGAAATAAAGTAAGAGCCGTTGAGCAACAGCCATGAAGACGAACATCCACATCTTAAAATCTGAAAGCAATGCAGTTATGTGTAATTTGTATTTTGGCTTATTACTATTTTACAAGCACCGGTTAAATTCTACAAATTAAATATGCTGACCTTCAAAGATGTCACTTATACATTATATTATGGGGAACTGCTGACAATAGCGCAGTTCTCAGTTCAAAAGAAAACTGCATCTTGTGATGAAAGAGATAATACTGTTCCTTTTGCTATCAATTGCCTTTGGTGACAGCACACTTACAAAATGTGGGGATGATCTTATTTCTAGCTACTGATCAATAACCATCCAATAAGAAGGCTCCACAGTACAGTACCACTGCAGTCAACTGGAAATAAAGTTAATGTTTTACAAACAAGATAAGGTCAGGAAATACCTAATATGTTGCCTATCAATTCCTGCCACATAGGTAATTACTTACGTTGTGTCAGAGTGGGTAGACATTGTGCAGAAGATAAAGCCAATGAAAACAACTAGATGGAGATGACAATTTGAGATTGTATGTTCAAAACGGTTTACACCATGCATGGCATAATACACTCAGGTCTGCAGTAGTAAGGTCCCAACAGTAAACCAGAGAAAAAAGTCAACAAAAGGCAACAATATATACCTATTTGTTTACATAAGTTACTTAATGGACACATTTTGCCAAGCATATAAATTGTGCAATGTTTTATAGGTGATATTTGTTTCATTCTAGCTAGAGGCGAGGACCAAAATGAAAAACATGAAATAGATTAAAAGGGAGATAATGTCTGATGCCAAGTTACAGAATTGCCTTTTCTAATATACTGCATTGAATAAAATTCCATCAGCTGATGCAATTATGTGTTTGCTAGTAGACTG